CACTGGCTCTCTCAGACCAACCACAAGCAAAATGAGAACTTAGAACAGTGTTTGGAGATGAGAAAACATTTTAACTTTAATTACCTTACATATAACTGAGCTGCTGTTTGCAGGCTGGAAAGTTTTTACGCTGCAGCAAGGCACACCTGGAATTAGCCTAAGCTTTGTATGCTTGGTTCAGGAATGTCCAGAGACGAATAAGAATTTCATCTAGCTCTACCTACTCTGGGTTGGCCCACGTACTCTGCTGTGCCCCACTTTGGGAAATGTCTCCTCAGTCTCTTCAAAAATTAAAATTCAGGTCCCTGTGTTGAAAGAAGTTTTCCACATGTCTAGAGTCATAGAGGGGATTTGGGAAGTCTTCTAGTCTACCCCTTGTTCATTGTAAGAATCCTGCAATTATAGCATCCCTAGTACTATTTGTTCTGACTTGTACCTACTTCCCTGTGAATTTCAGGATGGATGAAAAGAAATACTTCTCCCCACAGTGCATAGTTAAATTGTGGAATATGCTGCCACAATTTGCTGTGATGGCTCTAACCGGGGACTTGAAAATCATCATCATCATCATCATAATCATCGGTAGCTGTGTTGGCCATTTAGCAAATTCAAACAAAAATCCACCAAACAGTGATACCTTTATTGGCCAACCAAAATGCACAATATACTTGTTGCAAGCTTTCGAAGCTTCACTGGCTTCTTCATCAGGCAAGATGTTACAAACCAAACAGGAGAAAAAATTGGAGATGTTAGTCACATGCCTACATTTTGATGTTTCTGTCCTTAGTTAATAATAAAATAATAATAATAAAATTTATTTATACCCCGCCCCTTTGACATCAATCGGGGCGACTTACAGTAAAAATGCAGTACAACAGTAAAAACAACTTAGGGCCTAAGCAGAGGGCGCTTTGTGCCATCTTCGAGGCCAGGAAGGGGAGGGGCAGGCTCACGCTGGGCGCCCCAACCCCTTCCCGAAAATGTTGTCGGAGTGGCCGGCCCTCCACACGGCCGGCGCTTCGATGACACACTTCCACTGCAGTGTCCGCACACGCTGCAGTGGAAGAGTCACTGAAGGTGTGCTGGACGCCTTTTGCAGCGCACCTTCGGCATCTTGCGGAAGGAGCACTATTTTAGCACTCCTTCCTGGGCCTGGGATGCTGCGCCGTGGGGCCGAGGTGTGCGGATACCTCAGCCCCGATCCGCAGCTTCCCGGGGCGGCCCCGTGCCGCCCGTCTGCTTCCCCCCTTAGTTAAGATAATAGGTGGAGGGTATCTTTTGCAGGATGGCCCCTACTCCTTCTGGCCATGTGGATATTGGAAGATTTGCAAAGACCAGGAAATTTAAAGTCCATTTGCATCTCAACAATGACCACTCTCTTGCAATCCAATATGCTTCCATTCCTATGAGATCACAGGCCTCTCTGTGGGCAGAGTATAATGATGATGATGATGATGATGATGATGATGATAGCAACAACAACAATTCTTATCCACCTCTCCCCATGAATAGAGGCAGAGAACAACAATAGACCCACAAATATGCATCTGTTAAGAACACATCAATTAAAACATACATCAGTTTAAAAGAACAAACAAAACACACATGTATTAAAACATCTACCGGTATATTTAAAATTTACTATTTTAAAAATCATCTGGATAGGCCTGTTGGAAGAGATTAGTCTTCAATGCTGTTTTAAATTTGGATAGCTCATTCAGCTGTTGAATCTCCTCTGGATAAATTCATAGAGATTTGGGTTATCAGTTTATCAGTTGATCCTTGTCAAAATAATTGTGTGTCACCTCCCATATCAGAGGCCCTTTGGTTCTGAATGTGAAATGGAGGATGGCATTGCTCTCTTGTCCTGCAGTCCCAAAGGCACTAGGAAAACAGAAGGCCTATTTAGACCTTTTGTAAGATGACTTGTCTACATTAGCAATA